AATAGGACTGTATCAAAACGGGGCCTCATGTCAACTGAGCACGCCCATATATATATTTGCTTGTTAAATACTCTCTTTTTGTTATAATATGGCTCAATTGAAATTTCTTTTTTTCCTACTTTAAAAATAAAATTTAGAGAAATTCAAAGACAATTGTTAATTTTATTTTAGAAAGTAAAAAAATGGTATTGTTTTTATTGATATTATTATTTATTATTTTTATTATTCTTCGATTTAAAAGTTGGATTATTAATTATATTAAAGTATTACAAACTTATAAACATATTCCATGTCCACCACATAGATTACCTTTACTAGGAAATCTATTCAATTTACCATTAAATCCGTATGGTAAGAAATAAATTCTCAAGAAAAATAATGATTAAACTTTATAGAATTTTCGAGAAAACTTGAGACATTTTATGAACAAAGTAAAGATTCGGCTTTGTATTGTATATGGGTTGGTACACATCCTATAATTTTTTTCTTTCATCCAGTGGAGCTTGAGGTTTGTTATTCGTTGTTATATTAGAAAGAAAAAAAAATGATATGATTTACTTTAGCATTTTTTTGGTAGTTCAAAACATATTACAAAATCATCGGATTATGCATATGTTGAACCATGGCTTAAAACAGGTTTATTAACAAGGTTGGTTAGAATCGAGAATATCTCTCTCTCACTTCAAGACTTGACCTCCTCAGATTTATTTTTTAACGAAAATGAAAATAAAACGAGAGCGAGGGTTGATTGTAAGAAGGATGCATTTCTTTTCTATGCAGTTAGTGTGTTTATACTATAGAAAGGTTTATTCAAATATTTAAAAAAGTCTCGAGAAAGAAAATGAAATTTCTGCTTGGTTTCTGATCAGAAAGTTTCTTAGAGACGAAAATCTATCATACTAAAAGATCATTTTGGATAGTACGGAATTCTCTTTCTCTAAAGATTCAATGGCCGATATAGAATGTTAGTGGAAATGCGGGAGGCAGTATAGGTAAACAACAGTTTTCGAAGCTCATTCAAGCTAGTATGAAGCCAAGTTTTGCTTGATTTTGCAGTGAAAAATCGAAGGAAGTTTTTGAAAGAATGGAGGAGTGCCCGCTCCTTTGTTCCGCCCTCTTCTTGGTAAATCCACTACTACTAATGAAGAAGCCTCACTAACTGATACTTTCTGTTGGAGCTTATATTTTGTTCATCCGTAGGGCTCATAGTTCAGATAAAATCACTAAAAGGGCTCGTCCCACTATACATTTTTTCTCGAGTTATGGTCATTTTTCTGAATTTTAAGCCTATCACAGGGCATTCTGCAAAAAACCGCAACAAGAAATTTTCAGGTGAAAATTTTCTCGGTAACAGACTTCATGGTCCTTATTATATTCTGAGAGTTTCAGCAAAAAAAATGCTTCTTTCCCGAGATGATACATTTGCAAAAACCACTACTTTCTCATAACAGCTCCAAAAATAGTTCATTTCTTAACCCTTTAAGGACCGAATTTCTTTTTGATCGAAAAACACATTTTTCAACCTTTTTATTTTATTTTAACTCAAAATGGCTATATAAAAATGTTATGATAATCAAAAAAAAATAATGTTTTTCATCTTTTAAACAAGATAACAATTTGCAACTAAAGCACTAGATCTTGGATCGATAATTTGCTTCCTCGGTGTCACAATAAGCACATCATCTTCTTTTTCCTTTCACAGACAAATGCATTTCATTGTCAAAATTAAGGATAGTTTTTGGTGATGCTAGTCTAGACTTATTTTTAGAAAGAGGTCTTCCACAACTTATTCGTTCATTGCCGAAACAGAAAGACTCCGATACTGAAACCAAAATGACATGCTTTGCAAATTCAAGAACAAATTAAATTCGTCCATAAGAGTGGGAGCGTATATAGCCAATAGAGAATGAGAATATTCTCGAGAAACAAAAGATCAGAGAAGAGAGAAATTATCACGTCACTGTATCTTGGCAGCAAGAACAAAGGATATTTGAAAAGAATTTACATGAGAGAAGGAAAAAAAGAAAAGAAAAGTATGGGATGACAAATGCAGTTGTTTATGATCTTAATGACTTTACATATTTCATAGTTTAATGTGAACTAAACATTTTTTTCTTTACTGAAAAATAGGTGAGTTAAAAATGACCCATCGGTCCTCAAAGGGTTAACACATTCAACCCGATGAGACCCACCGGTGGGTCCCACTATATTGTACAGTGGTTAGTCGGCCATGAAAACAAAAGATTCTCAGAAAATTTTTTTGTCTATCAGACTTTGTAGAGCTCTCTTTGCCGATCATTTTGATAAAAAGATTTTTTAAATTTGACAAATAAATGACGGTGCTAGAGTCGAAATACTGAAAATCTGAGACAGTTCTGTCTGCTAGAGCTATAACTTTTTTTCAGTATTTTGACTCTAGCACCGTCATTTATTTATCAAATTTAAAAAATCTTTTTTATTAAATGATCGGCAAAGAGAGCTCTACAAAGTCTGATAGACGGGACATTTTCTGAGATCTATTTGTTTTTCGTGGTTGACTATCTATAAAAATACTCAATTATATATCTGAAAATTTTGGAACTTTTGGTAATTCTTTAGCTCATAGTCATTCTGTGAATTGCTAGTTATACTACTAAATCCCGTTTTCGACAAGATTTCGTTTGGCATAAAATTCATTATTCATCTCATTTGTATTTGGAGCTGTACCCTCTGGAAGAATATTATTTGCTAACGTAGAATCTAATCGGGTTCAATGTGTTAAAAAAAACTTATCCGTTTGAGATGAAACTGTCAGGATATAATAAGAACCATGAGTTCTGTTATTTAGGAAATTTCCAGGCAGAAATTCCTTGTTGCGGTTTTTTATGACATCTTGTGATAGACTTAAAATTCAGTAAAATGACTAGAACTCGAGAAGAAAGTCCTAATGAAACGAATCCTGTCAGGGATTTTATCTAAGCTATCAGCCCTATGAATGAGCAAAATATGAGCTCAAACAGGAAGCATCAGTTGGTGAGGCTCTCTTATAAGATTCAACGGAGACCTACTATAACACACCTTTCAAAAGTGAGTCTTACTGATTTTGTGAGAGTATAGAAGCTATCTATTTTTAGCAATGGAGCAAAATGGAAGAATCGTCGACGTATTCTAACACCTGCCTTTCATGATAAAGAATTACTTAATAATTTTGTTGATATCTATAATAAACAAACATCTATTTTAATTCAACGTTTGGCTTCAATTAAATCAGAAAAAGAAGTTAATTTATATCCATATATTGCATCATGCGCTCTTGATATTATCTGTGGTTAGTCTTTTTTCCATAATTTTTATCTAAAGGTTGGTATGGAAATAATTTAGAAGCTGCAATGGGTTTGAATATTGGTGCTCAACATAATAGAAATTCTCAATATGTTGATGCTGTTTTAAAGTAAATCAAATCCTTGAAAATAAAATTTATGAATAATTTGTTTAGAATAACAGATATAATATTAAAACGTCAACGTATGCCATGGATGTGGCCTGATGTAATATTTAAATTCTTATCTGAAGGACGAGAACATGATCGATGTTTAAAAATCATTCATCAATTTACAAAAAAAGTTATTCATGATCGTGCTCAAGCATTTCATGCTAGTGAAGTTCATGGAAAACATTCTGCATTTCTTGGTAAATTATCATTTATTCTCAAAGTAAAATCGACCTTCTCTATTCAGATTTACTTCTAAAACAGATGCATGATGAACAATTAACACTCGCTGATATTCAAGAAGAAGTTGATACATTTATGTTTGAAGTATTAGAAACAAAATCGATAACATACTTTTTTCTTATTGTTTTGGATATTTAAGGGACATGATACAACTGCAGCAGCAATGAATTTTACTTGTTTTATGATTGCATTACATCCGGAAGTTCAACAAAAATTACATGAGGAAATCGATAAAGTTTTCGGTAATTTTCAAAATAAAAATTCATTGAGTTTTTTGTAAAGTTAAGATTATAGGTGATGATTATGATCGCCCATGTACAATGGAAGATTTAAATGAATTAGATTATTTGGAATGTGTTATTAAAGAAACACTTCGACTTTTCCCATCAGTTCCAGGTATTGCACGTGAAGTACAAGAAGATTTTATGTATCGTGAGTTAATCTAAATATTCTTTGAGATATTCGATTAATTTTTATGTAGATAATTTTAAAATTTTACGAGGTTCAACAGCTGCTATAAGTATTTATTATGTTCATCGTGATCCGAAGCATTTTCCTGATCCCAATCGATTTGATCCAGATCGATTTTTACCAGAAAATAGTGCTGATCGATCACCTTATGCATTTATTCCATTTTCAGCTGGCTCAAGAAATTGTATCGGACAACGATTTGCTATGTTAGAAGAAAAAGTCGTGTTATCATCGATATTAAGACAATTTAAATTAAAAACTTCTCAATCACGTGATGAATTGAATATTTTATTTGGAATTATTCTTCGTTCTGAACATGGCGCTTTTGTACAAATTGAACATCGGCATTAATTAATATTAAACTTGCACAATTTTTGTATTTTGAAAACTTTTCATTTTTTAAATAAAAAACGAATAATCATTCGATTGAAGTTGATAGGTTTTTTATTCAAATGATTCGCAAAGAGAAAGTGTAATCTTTTGTTGTTAGTAGTATTTGTACCAGATTATAGTTTTCGATAAGCAACAAGATGTTGTAACCATATCAGAGATCGGCAAATCGTCTCGCCACACTGCCTCGCCTCGCGCCGAGGCAAGATTCTCGACAGCGAGGCGAGTACGAGGCACTGCGAAATTTAGACGATTTCCTCGTCTCCTTCCACTCCAGTTTTTATTGCATAGATATTATTATAGATCCGAAAAAATACAAAAATAGATAACGAAATCAAATTAAATAACTCTCATGTTCATAGATATACTAGTAAGGAAACAATGAATAATAGTTCAATAAATAAGTAAGTATATAGTTCCCAGAAAACATGTAAACTTTATCAAAAATTTCGAGAGATTTTTCAAGCTACTAGTGACTACATCCACTATCATCAGCAAACAATAACAACGACATAAAATAAAGAGAACAGTTTACATGCATTTATGTCCCACTGAATGATTTAACAGGATAATATTTTGAATAAAGCGAGAAAATATAAAAGATTTATTAGAATCCAGATTGACGTAATAGTTTTGTATACTTAGTTTTCTATCACTGTTTCGTGATGAGGATGGGCATGCTAACCAAAAGCTTGAATGAGAATTGTCAAATTAGGATATCACTCAAACGTTTTTGTTGTTACTTACATAATTGTTTATTCAATTATCATTCATTCTTCTCTTCCTGTTGGATTTACATAAATGATAGTTATTCACTTTTTGGAGTAGCAGACACTTTAATTGACTATATGAACGAGGTTGACAGTGCATATCTATTCATTCTTGTTTCCTTATCCATTTTTGTATTTTGTTTTTTTGAAACTGTTTATATGAATCAAAAGTATAAAATGTTCAGAAAGTCATCGAATAAAGAGAAAACTATATTTTGGTCATTGTTCTATTAGATGGACTAGTTTTCTACTAATAGTAAAGAAATGTGCTAAGTTTGTATTCCATAGTATATATATCTCAAATATTCTCATAACTAACATCTTCTGGTTCAATACACAAAAAGTCCTTTTACGAGATACGAAAAAAAATATACAGAACTGTTCCTTGAATATTTTCTATTTTGATGCTTATAAAGAAAGAAAAATAGGCTTGAATGCCATTAAATGCACATTAATAAAATGCAATAAATTCAACATAATCCTACATACTGGTCTTTAGCGTCTTGAAAAAGAATTTTAGTCGTGTCTTGAATCTAACTGTGTTACTTTGTTAGGTATTTAAGAAATCCACATTATTGAATAAAAACTTCGAACTGTTCTCTACCATAACTATAAAGAACTAGTTCATCCAATAGAGCTATGATGAAAAATACGAATGTTTTTTTTAGTGAATGACTTGCCAGACATCCTGTACTTTATTTGATCTCAGAAGTCCGCCGTAGTCGCAAGAATTGGGGGTATCTATGAATAACGAGTTTGATAAGAAAATTTTTGCTAAAATTGATCAAACCTAGGGACGATCGAGCAATTTTTTGAAAACTAGTGAGCAAAAGCCCAAAAAAACTCCGGAATTTTGCTGGGAAAGAGTGAAACTTTCTCAAGATTGGGAGATCTCCGCCACTAGGAATACGTCTGTTATGAAACAAAAGAAATAGTAAGTTTTAGATGGGGCTAAAAAGTGAATAAGAAAACGTCTCTTTTTACATTAAGTCCTACGCGAGGCGGTGGCGAGTTGAAGGCCAAAAGGCGAGGCGAGGCGAAGTGGCAATGAGCGAATCGCTTCGTGGCGAGACGGTGGCGAGGTGCTTTTTTTGACTGACTCGCGGATCTCTGTTTCCAACGACAATGTCTCTAGTCGTTGCTGCTATGACCATACCGGTTTCGTCGACTACGTGTGAGAGAACGTTCAGCAAGATGAAACTGATAAAAACAACCATACGCAGTACAATGTCAGATATTAGGTTGTGCGATTTATGCGTTTTAGCAGTGGAATGTGATTTTGGCATTAATTTTGAAAAACTCATGGATGATTTTGCTAATTCGCACAAAAATAGTAGGATTTTATTAAAGCGAAAATTTGTGATGGGAAAAATATCTTTTACCCAATAAATAAAATATGATTTTTAAACCTGCTATAAAGATCAACACACTATGACATTCTTGTTCTGTAAAAAAAAAGAAACACTGAGGAGTACCCAAAATGACCTTGAAAGCTTTTAAGGCAGTGCCTAACCATCCGGCTTTTTCCGGTGACGCCACTAAATGAAAGATACCATTTACATTAATAAAAAATATACCATTTTGTAGAGAATTAAAAGACGAATCTTTTTAAAAAAATAAAGTCTGAATAAACAAATATTAACAAAGATATCATTAAAATACTGACAGACCCATTCTTTATGGAACACCCGTTAAATTGTAATCAGTATAGCAAAATTTGAATTATAGTCGACATACAAATGCTATTTCTATTGATTCATACTTGAACCTTGTGTTAGACTGTACAGGAGCCCTTGAGTCTGTCAACTATATGTAAAAAAAACGAGACATCTTTTTTCCATTTTTGTGGCACCTATATTCCATCACTCTAGTGAATATATTCATCGAGCGAGTATGACTTGCCAACATGAATAGTCAAATTATTCGTGAGAGTGCTTTAGCAATTTTATGTATATGGATACTTTTCGTGTACTCCAATCAGTAGTCATTAGAGATGAGACCAGTTTAGTTCGCTAAACGCCTAGAAAAACTATAAAGCAAAAATTCGCACCGTTCTGTCGGTTGTGATATAAACATGGATCTCATTATACTTATGGGATGAGTATTCTTTTGTGTATTTCAGCAATCGAACACGATAAGCTAAGACTTCTGACGAGCACAGAAATGATCATCGAAAATCGTAGTAAAAAGAAGCAAAGAAGTTTTTTTGTCTGATAGATTTTCTTACTAAATATCCAAAACAAATTACTGGATGATTTGTTAATCCAACAAATTTCACATGCACTCATGAAATCAGATGTCTGTTTTCTATTGAAAAGCTCGAGCTTCATAGATGATTGAGCTCTACATTTTTGAACGAAGATTAAAATACATTGTAATATAGCGACTCTTCTAGGTATGTTTTGTTTATAACCTGAATAAATTCGCTCAGAATGAAAATCTAACATTCGACTTCTGTTTATTGAGTAGAACGGAGTTGGGGTGGATGGTTGTGGGTGGGTGTGGGTGTGGGTGTGGGGTGTGGATGTGGGTATAGTTGAAATGAGTACACACAACCATACCCACACCCATCCACACACTCACCCACCAAAATCAAACCCACCCACCCACCCACACCCACACCCACACCCACCCACCTCCGCACCCACACGCACACCCACGTCCACACACCCACACCCCACATCCACACGCACACCCTTTCAACAATTACATAGAATTCTCTGAAAAGATATGAATTCTATTCTGTAACATTGTTTTCAGAGAGGTCAAAGAACAAAATTTAGGATAAAGTTTGAAATATCACATTAGTAGTTTTCCTTCTTCGTATAAAAGAAACAAAAAAGCAAAGGATACAATGCAAAGGCCGAAGCCATGAGTATCGATGCCGTGAATGATTGGTAGGCTGTCATAAAAGCTTCAGTTTTGTTGGGGCGCACACTAAGACAGAGCGGCTTTTTATTTTTTTCTGCCTCATTGCTTGTTTTCTCGATGTTTCTCATTGATTTCGTCTTGGTTTTTATCAGCCACTGTAAAATACATTTATGTATTGTGATAGCTTATTTCATCATGACGTTCATCCTAAAATGAAGTTTGTATTTCATTACTTTAAGAATCAATTTTTATTGTTAATTTAAAATAAATAAGAAAAGATATTTAAAGTGATGAAGAAAGAAAAACTAAACTTAATAAACTCTTTTTTTGTAATTTGCTTTCAAGTAAAATTTCTATTGATGAAATAAAGTAAATTTGACAAATTGATCAAATATAAATGAAATAAAATTGACAAAAATATTTATCTTTAAACGAATAACTTCGTCATTTTGAATAAAATCGTAATTTAAAAGTATTCTTGTCTATCTAATAAAAAATTCGTGTGATTGATATTAAAATTAAAAATGCATTCTAAAACGAATACTTTCTATATAATATTGATTGGATTTATAATATTATTAAATATTGACAGTTCAGCATCAGACCATGATGACCATGATGATCATCATGATGGAGGTAAATTTTTTTTTTAATATTATTTTAACACTGATTTTATGTATAATATCACTGGTTGATTTTAAACGGTGAAAGATCGGTCATTTTCCTCTTCAGAATTTTTCTTCGATGCTTTCCGTTGAAAAACAAATAAAAAAACGAATTAATAGTGCCTCGAATGAGTCTTAAATAGGATTTATTTTGTCTATAACCATTTCTTCTACAATCAAAATATCTGACCTTCACTTTTCAAAATGGTAGATCAAATATTGTAAAATAAATCCTCTAAAATAAAAAAAAAATACTGGATTTATTAAAGACCCTTCGGTATATTCACATTCATCCTACATAGGAGCTCAATGTTTTTCTGGTGATTCATTAATTAAATTATCAAATGGTGAATATAAAGAAATTGGTAATCTTCAATCTAGTGATGAAATAATAACTATTGATCAATCAAAAATAATTTCAACAGAAATGATAATGATGTTAGATAAACAAATTTCAAAACAAGGTATTTTATTTATAATTATTAATAATTATATATATATAATAATAATTTTCTTTTAGCGTTATTTTATACATTAAAAACAGATACTGGTAATGAAATAAGTTTAACAGAATATCATTTAATTCCAACAATAAATTCACATGGAAATGAAAATTATTTATTTGCAAAACAAATTAAAATAGGAGATTATTTATTTGTTCTATTTAATGGAAAATTAACATATTCTCCAGTAATAAATATAACAATTGAAATGAAAAAAGGTTATTATGCTCCATTAACAATGAAAGGTACTTTATTAGTAAACAATGTTTTAGCAAGTTGTTATGCAAATGTTAATAATCATCATTTAGCACAATATTATATGGCACCTTTTCGTTATTATTATAAATTTGCTCGATTTATATCTTTAAATGATCCATTTAATATTAATAAAACTGAAGGCTTATATTGGACAGTTAATATTATGCTTTATTTTGCACGTTATTTTAGATTAGGTGCACTATGTTTATGATACAATCATATTTTTGCTCTAGATTTAACAATTATGCTTTATTTTTTTTGTTCTCTAAATAAAATATTTATGAATTTCATTTTCTGATAATTCAGCAAATCTATAATCATTGTTGTCTTTTATTCAAGATTTCGTTAAACTATTTCAAGAGATAAAAGTGAATGATATCAACAATTAATATGTGCAAATGATATAAGAGAAAAATATCTATATTAGACGACTCCGGAGGAATTTCTTACACTCAAATTGGTTAAGATTCAAAACGATTTATTTAACTTTTTTGATAAGTAACAATTTAACATAAGCTATTACAAAGAATAATACGGCCATCAATGGCAAAACAAAAAAGTATTTCCACATATTTCAGTTCGATGCATAATCGATAGATCATTCCTGTAAGACGTCATTGCCTGAGAGAGGATATATATTGGTATGATTGGTCAAACAGAATTGTAAATTGCGAAACTCGAAATGATCGAAAGGTCTTCGCAATCATTTATTTTCAATGTTTTATTGTTGAATTGAAACTTCTACACCATCACGAATATTCTTATCATATTCGAGAGTCGATTCATGAAATGTTGATGTATAATATAGATTATTTCGAACATAGTTTACATAGTCAGATGCACCAGGATAGATAATATTATCAGCAACAATCATTGTACCATGTTTGATCAAACCGACATTTTCAAGTAGTTTGAAATCACTTAAGTAGGCCTCTTTATGATGATCAATAAAGATAAAATCAAACGAATCAACATTGAATTGTTTACTCAAACGAGGAATCACTCGGTCAGTTTGATCAATGACAATTTGTATGCGATTTGCAACATCGGCATGTTCATGAATATGTCGAGCAGTAGCTGCTGATTCAAGATTTACTTCGATAGTAACAATTCATGTATCTTCAGTTAGATGAGGAGCCATGCGCAATGAACTATAGCCAAGAAAAGTACCTTTTATAAGAACAAAAAAAGAAGAAATTATGAGAATATGTTTCAATGAGAATCTACCGAGTTCAAGGACCGTTTTTGGTTGTCTAAATTGTAGAGCCGCATCGAGAATTTTGCCTTTTCTATCGCCAATATTCATGAGTGTTTGTTGAGTCCAAACGTATTTGTCAATGGTATTGATGATACTGCTGATATCACCAGGATGACTATTCTTAGGAACATAACTTAATAATGCGGGTGTGGGTGGAGGGGTGTGGGTTATGGGTGTGTGGGTGTGGATGTGGATGTGGGCATGGGTGTGGATGTCCTTGATCTTTTGATTCACACCTACACCCACCCACACCCCACACCCACACATACACTCATACCCACACCCACACATATACCCATACCCACACCCACACCCCATATATCAAAACATTTTAATCAATTTCACTTAATTGCCAATTAATTTTTTTTTGTATCTAAGAAATGATTAGTTATAATTAATCCATTGAAATCATAGAGTTTTCGATTAAAATAAATTCTTATTAATTATCTATATTATTAAATCATCGTACAATAAGATATCGTCGGTAACTATATACATTATTCAATGCGGAAGTTAAACATGATTATTTTTTTTTGTTATGATTTAAAAATAAAAGAAAAGAAAGAACGATTACTTATTTAATTAATAAATTATTCAATTCAATATCGCACATTGATTTAACAACAATCTTTTTAGTATTGAAGAAACAAATAAGTATAAATTCTCTTCATTGACTTTGATTATCATCAATGTTTTATCTAGAGGAGTGATCGGGGGCGCCGCGTCCCCCGAAAATCGAGTTCGCCCCCTAGAGACTTGTGATCATCGCACTACGAACACAGCTGGCTCTCCCGAAAATAATTTTTCGCCCCTTCGGAATTTCAAATCGCCCTTTCGGAGAAAAAAACCTGGATAAAAAAACACTGATTATCGTTATCATTCATTCTTGTTTTGTTTATTATAATTTACGATTAATAGGAATTATTCATATGTTTTATCATTGATGTATTCTTTTAAAAATCGAAGAAACCAAAATCAGTTATATTTGATGAAGTTCATCATGCATGACATGTACGAATTGGTCAAGAACTATTTTAATCTTTTTTTGCAGAATCATCTTTAGAAAAAATTCTTATTGTTTTCTATTATAATCGAAGGAAAATTTAATGTTCTTTTCAAAACGATATATGAGTTTATTTTGATAAAAGACATCTAAAGATTCTCAGCACTTTTTTCTATACTATTGAAAGTTACACAATAAATTCTTGAAGCATTACATTGCATTAGTCATTATTTATTTGAATATCTTAATAAAAAAAAGTAAAGAGAAGTAAGCTACAAAAGCCTTCATCTGTTCTCTGTGTGTAGATTGAAAAAGTTTATTTCAAAAATAAATTTTCTTTTCTTTTGTTAACTGAAAATTTCGTTCTTCTGATGATAGTTTCACAGAACTATAATAATGACGAGCTGAAAGTTCGCGATCTACGATATGTATTGAAAAGTTCCAATAGAAAAATTTTCTAATATACTCACGCATGGGTTTCTTTTCAAGTAATCGAATTAATCTTGAAGACATTTCTCGTATTCTTTTAGGAACTTTTTCCAAAATTACTTCGCTATTTTTCTAAATTCAACCTTTTTCAAGATTAAGATCAAACTTCGAACTATTATTTATATATCTTATTGCACATTATTTCATCATTAAAATTTTCTTTTCTAAACAATTTGAAAGTCAATATCAATCGTTTCTCAAGAATTTTTATGTCGAGATCACCGCCTATGTTTTAGTCACTTCTTTCTTCGGTCTTTCTCTCAATATCTGTCGTTTCATTGCATAGATGTGATGTGATCTTTCTTGACGAAACATAACGATGTACGTATGTATCCTTACACATATCTTGACAATGCATACTTTTCTCAGAATTTTTTTTTCTCCTTTCAACGAATTCTAAGCCTCTTGTTAACGGTTTTTTTCTATAATGAAAAGATGTTAGTTCAACATTGACGAGATTATACTAGATATCAAATGGCTTAACCCTGTTTTCAAGTGGACAAAAAACGTCAGATTCACAATACACATGTGTGTATGCAGTGTATCTAGATCACATCCAGATCTATACATTTCTATTATTATAACATCTAGTGAAATTTCCTCCTAACTAAAAGACCTGAGGCCATCAAAGAACTGTCTTTTCGCAAAAATTTAAGATTTGATTTTAAATTGGAAAAATCTCGAATGTAAAAAATACTAAACGAATGAAATTCAACTGATTCTAGTATAAGAAAAATATATCCTTTCTTCTTCTCAATGTCATCCTTCAATTTCTTTCGAAAATGCACACAACAATGAATGACTATGATCGAACAATACATCAATGTTTTACGTTTGTGAAAAAGTTTACTTATTCACAATTTAACAATGGTGCAAAACGCCGAAACAGAATGGAAAAAATAAAACGAATTAAGACTGAATTAACGAATAAATTTGTCTAAAAAACATGATTTAAGTCGGAATAGATCAATCACGTTGCTTACTTCATTTTCTTTTTTTAGTCTGTTTGAGGTCAAAGTAGTGAGATGCAAACAATGAACAATATAGGTATATATAGCTCTGTCGTAGTGAAAAGCATCACAGTCATAATAAAATATGAACCGATCAAATGTTCATCTTCTGGATTTACCTGATGAAATATTACTTATGATTTTGAAGAAGTTGAACAATGTTGATGTACTTTATTCTTTATTGGATATTAATAATGGACGACTTAACATTCTTGCACAAGAAAACACTTTCACCAACATTCTGAAGCTTGTCGCCATTTGTGATTTTTCTTTAATCGATCGATTCTGCATCGATATATTACCAAGAATTCATCATAATGTGAAATGTTTTATTTTTGATTCATTTTGTATGAAACGTTTTCTTCTTGCCACTGACTATCCGAATCTAACTGAACTTAAAATTCTTCATTTCGAACAAAAATTCGCTTTAGATTATCTTACAAGTAAGCATTTAATATGAATTTGATTAGTTGAGAAATAATAAAAGTGTTAAATAGAATAGACTACAATATGTTTCATTTCATTGTTTTCTCCTTTAGAGGAAGCATCACTTCGATCTATTTGCCAAGAACAAATTACAAACCTTACTCTAATCAATGATGATGAAGACGGAATGATACGTTCATTGAAAAATTATACTACAAACGTATATAGTCACATCTTGACCTTCTTCAAAAATTTAAAAGAATTAAGTATCATGAGACCATCTGCTATATCAATGTATCCAGGTTTATCACTTTGTTATTTGCCATCGACTACTTTTTCATCTCCGATTCTTACTCATTTATATATCAACGTGAAAACTTTTGATGATTGTCTTTATTTACTTGATGGTCGACTTAGAAAATTGACAACATTGTGTGTTAATGTCTATTCTATAGACGAGTATTCAAGAATTGTTCACAATATGGTAAGTTTTTACAAATAATTTTATTTATGACATAAAGATTATTACTATTTTAATGTAGTTAACGAGTGATCTCAAAAAATTCAAATAAGAGAGTGAATGGTTAAGTTTCATGTTGACAAGGGGGGAAAACTGATATGATTTTGATGAACATATCAAAATCATCGACATTAAATTTGTATTTACTAGACATTTGAATTTAATAAAAGAATCAATGAAATTTGTTGCTAGAAATTATAATTATATAATATTTTATCGGATAAGTTTCATATTGAAAACTAGACTATTCTGTTTCATGATTGATTAAATATTATCATATATGAATGATCATCAGCATAGAATGGAACGAGTTTTTCTATAATAACAACTTTTCCAATAATTGAGATATGATTGGAAATTTGTCTGAAACTTTAATTGCTCTTTGAACACTCGTTTGTTATGCTGTAAAATGAGAAAATCAAACTAATAGATTTGTCATTTGTGGTCATTCACAGATAGAATATAGATCATACATCATGTGTAAAATAATGATGCCTATGACTTAATCTTGTAGATTATCAAAAAAACATTTCTTTCTTTCTGTAGGATAAATTATTTAATCTAAAATGTTTCTCATTAAAATCGTTCTTTCGATTTAAACAATATGATAAAATTGTATCACTTCTTCGTCGTATGTCAAATCTGGAAAAATTAACTTTATATCTTCCTATAAAAGGTCGAAATACAGTGATTGATGGTACTTATGTTCAACATGATATTTTGGATTATATGCCACAACTTCATTCATTCACTTTCTATATTTGTACTTATGTGAAAACGGTTGATTTATCCTACAAGTTATCTAGTGAAGATATTCAACAAACATTAACAAATATTGGACAACAAGAACATGTCACGAATATAGTCAATTATATTCAAGGTGGAATAGCTGCATGCTCGATTTTCTCACTTCCTTTTGAATTTGATTATCTCAAACATCTTGGCAATAAATTTCCAAATATTGTATTCAGTAATGTTACGTTTTTACTTGTAGAAGATACTAATCCATTCAAACATGAATTCTTCATTCGAATTAACCGATCGTTTCCATTACTGAAGTATTTACGTATTTTTAATAAAGAATCACAAGTATTAGATGATCTTATGACATTTTCATCTGATAATTGTCAATTACACTCAATTATTGAATACCTTCATCTGACTAGACTCGATGTGAGATATGCACATAGAGATTATGTTGAACAATTTCTAAATGAAACAAAGGCATTCATACCTTGTCTGACGGTATTTGAAGTCGATGTTGATCATTTAAAAGCTGTAACAAAAGACTTCACAAGAAAAGAAACACGACGCAATTGTGCTAAGGTGGAACGAATAGATACGCTAGGATCATTGTTTTATTCGGAAGATGTTTTTCTTTATTTTCCTTCGTTGTATTAGTAGATGTATTCTCGTTTTGATTTATTCAATAAACTGAAAAACATGATAAATATTGTATTTATAGGCTAATGATATTTCTCCAATATAAAGAAATATCAACTATTAATGATCGTTTCTCATTTTATAAAAAAAAATCACACAACATTTTGTGATGCTGCAGAGTTATAGGTAAAATGAAAATGCTCCTTCCGCAATTGTTTGGAGACATACAAAAAGATTTGATTTCATTTTAAATGTAAATATAGTCCTTACTTTTTCGATCTAACTCAAATTAAAGAATAAATGAACATTAATTTCTGATTGCATTCGATCTAAAGTTCAAAACAATTTCAATAATTGGATTTGATGTATGCGCGATATGAAGTTGTTATCCGTCTCAGTTAACGTAAACTACCTTTCTTGCAATCAGACTCATCTTATGGGTTTGAACGAAATGAAATTACTTCAAAATATACTAGCAGAAAAAATAACATCTTTAACTTGCTGCCGTTTTTAATATACTATCAGGTCAACGAATGTCAAAATATTTCATCTTTCTATTGATTGTCTTATGTCATTGATATATTCTATCTAAGAGAATTCATTCAAATTTAATAGAACATATAATTATTACAAGCTTTCATTACACTTTTCCTAGTGAGATATTTTCAATTTAGAATCTTTAGATATTTATTTTAAAAATAAAAAAAAAATAAAAACTATTTAGGTCTATCACTCTCATTTACTAAACGTCGTGCAAAATTTACAGCTTCTTCAAAATGATTACAACGAATTTCAAGTACAGTAGCTGGTTCATCAAAATTCATTGTTGTTTGTCCAATGCGTTTTTTTTTCTTTAATTGATTCTGTTATAGCTAATTTATATACACGTTGGCACATTTTTGTTAAAACTGCACCACTAAAGTCTTTTGTTTCATTTGCTAATAGACTGAAAACACCATCTTTTGCTCCTCGTAATTCTGTTAAAACAGCTTTAAGTATAGCCATACGAGATTTATCATCAGATAATGGAATATAAATCAAACGATGAAGACGACCTAAATAAAAACAAAAAAAAAATCGTAATTTTCTAAATAAAATAAATAATTTTTCATTTTGTTACCTGGTTGAAGTATAGCTGAATCAATCATAATTCGTCTATTGGTAGCACCAATAATAAAAACATTGTTTTTTGCACGGATACCATTCATTTCAGTTAAAATTTGTTTATAAACACGATCAGCTGCATCACCGCCATCATCGGCACTACCACCACGAGATTTAGCTACAAAAAAAACAAAAACAAAAATATATTCTTTTTTTTTAAAATCTTCTTCTTACCAATAGAATCTAATCCATCAAAAAATACTACACATGATGCTGCTTGACGAGCTTTATCGAATACATCACGTACATTAGCTTCTGATTCTTCAAACCACATAGTTAATAATTCTGGAACTTTAACCAAAATAAAATTAGCATTACATTCATTGGCCATAGCTTTTGCTAATAATGTTTTACCTAAAATAAAAAAAATATTAATAAATAAAGATGAAAAAATTTCTTTCTTTTTTTTTTTGATGAACTTACCACAACCCAGTGATCCATACAAGAAAACATCACTTGATGACGTCTGATCAAATTTGAGAAATCTGTACGGATATACAACATCATATTCAATAAGTTCTTGTAATTCACTTTTAACATTTTCTAAACCATGAATATCTTCCCATGTTGTTCTTGGTTTTTCAACAACTATTTCACGTAAAGCTGATGGTTTTGATTGATTAAGTGCAAATCGAAAATTCACTTTTGTAACCACTAATGTATTGAGTACTTCAACATTGATTGTATTGTTTTGTAAATCCATGACATCCATTTTTTCACGAATTTGTTGTAATGCAGCTTCTGAGCATAATGATGCCAAATCAGCTCCAACATAACGATGAGTTTCATTGCCTATTTGTATTAAATCGACATCATCAGCTAATTTCATATTTTTTGTATGTATATGAAGAATTTCTAAACGACCAATAGCATCTGGTATTCTAATACCAACTTCATGATGAAAACGACGAAGTGCTGGAGTAACTGAATTTGGTCGATTTGTTGCCGCCATAACAATCACATGTGAACATTGTTGAAGATCATCCATTAATGTTAATAATTGTAAAACAACAGGATGTTCAATTTCACCATGACTTTTTTCACGCTTTGGTGCAATTACATCAAGTTCATCGATGAAAATAATAGCTGGAGCATTCTAAAAACAAAAAGAAAACTTTATTTAAATAAAAATTGCATTATAATTAATATACAGTTAACTTCTTCAATTTGTCTTCTTAATTTTCTAGAAATTAACTAGCAAATTAACTTTACGTTTTTAGTTTCTTCAAATGCTTTACGTAAATTAAATTCAGAATCACCAGGTAATTTAGACATAATTTCCGGTCCATGGATTAAAAAGAAAAATGCACCAGTTTCATTAGCCACGGCACGTGCAATTAAAGTTTTACCTAGAATAAATATTTTTCTTTTTCTAAAAAAACGCTCTATTATTTTTATCATACCTATGGCAGGTGGTCCATATAAAAGAATACCTCGTGGTGGTTTAACATCAATTGTTTGTAACAGTAGTGGACGTTTTAATGATAATTCCACCATTTGATTTATGTATGGTAACGGTTTGCCAACACCACCAATATTATCATAACCAATTTCATCCACTCCCGGGTCGATCAAAACGGGTACCCATTACGGGGTCGTTTTCGGACAGTAAACGGTAAAAAACGGCTAGTTTACGGCCGTAAATAGTCCGTATTACTCCGTATGAGTGGATGCAGTAATACGGTGCCGTATCTCAGGTCGATCGTTCCGGCCACCGGATATTGCAGGAACCGGCAGGAAAATGCGGGAAAAATCACCGTATCCTGCAGGAAAACACCGGAAATAGCCGGAACATGGAAGCAGTAGTCCGGCCGGAAATTCTCCGGATTTTTTCCGGGGAATTCCGGCCAATTTCCTGTGTTTTCCGGCAGGAACCGAGCGGAAAATCAGCGGAAAAAATTCCGAAAATTTCCGGCCGGAATACTGCTTCCATGTTCCGGCTATTTCCGGTGTTTTCCTGCGGGAACCGGCCGGTACTTTTCGACCTGGGATACGGTGAAAAAGTCACTGTAGTACGGTCCGTAAAACTGCATCCACTCATACGGCCCGTAAAGTAACCGTATCGTCCGACCTGGGCTGATTCAACCATTTTTTGATTTAATCGAAAAACATCTGTAGATTAAATCTAAAAATACACTTTCATAAAGAGAAAAAAAAGAACAAAAAAAAATAATAAAATATTTTTTTTGATAAATAAAGAAAAAAATATTATGTTAAATATTTCACAAAAAAATATTTTCATGAATACTTAGGCAAAAACTCTTCATGAGATCTCGAAGACGAATGAAAATGTTTCATAACTTCTTTATAAAAATCAAAAGCCGATTTTAATAACGGAATTGAATTATCCTTTCCATTAGCTAATTCTATATAATAATCACAGTTGCACACATATATATAGTCGAAAAACAAAGAAAGAAAATAAAGGATAACCATAGAAGAGAGAGTGAGTACATGATAACAAGAGAGAGGATATATGTTAACAACAGAAGAAAGAGTGATCGAGGGAAACACATGCTAGAAAGTCCTTTCGAAAATGTCCTCGGACGAAATATCCTTTATTTTTTCGTCCTCTCACATACATATGTATGTAAGGACGAAAAAATAAAGGACATTTCGTCCCAGGACATTTTCGAAAGGAGATTCTAGACTGTTACTATCGAGGGTATGATCGTGATGGTGATTATATATCACCGTTAACAGTATATTTAAAATCGTTTGTTGAGTTTTCGCTCGAATAGCCACTGATAGTTCATTCCAATCTTTTGAACAATAACGATGATCAACTAATCAATCTATCAAACAATTAAATTTATTAGAAAAAAAAAAACTGAAATATATCAAAGAACTTACCAACAAGTTTGGTAAGGTGAATATCAAAAGTACTATCGTCATCATCATCAGTCATGATTAAATCTAGAAATAAAAGAAAAGGAAATTATTTGTTTCTTTTTAAATTGATGAGAATTGATCATTAAGAACAGACAAAGAGAAAAACATTTGTTGTATGATCGAATATTTTCTTAATTTATCAAAATGAAATTTGACAAAAAAAAACTTCAAATAAAACATAAACTTGAGGATATTTGGCAATGATTAAACGTTCTTGATATGTTATTAAATATTTCATATTCATTGTTTCATAAAGCTAAAAGAAAAATAAATTTAAAACAAAATTAAAAGAGAAAAAAAAAACAAAATTTATTTGAAGTAATTTGTGATCATTTTCTTGTTGTTGTGATGAAGATTTTTCTTCAATTTGTTTTAAAAATAATTTCCAAAGACGGTCATAAGATTTTTTAATTGAATAATATTTATAAAGGAAATTTGCTAATTTTCCATCATTTATATCAATATGTTTTTGTATACTTTTAAAAACATTTATTAAATATCCTGATTGATCATCAGTATTTGCCGATAAATCACATAAACACATTTCTAATGATATATGTATATATATCAATTAACCAATTACGACGTTTTTCCATATCACTAAAAAAAAATTCTCTAAAAAAGTTGTTTTTCTTTGATTAAAATACTTTTTAATAATTTGAATATCTTTGTCATTTGATGATAATTTTTTTTGACCAAAAAATTATAAAATGAAATCTTCATTAAATAAAAATAAAAATCTATTTTGAATAAATTTAATAATTTTATTTAATATTTTTTTATTTGTTAAATAAGATTGTTGTTGTTTTAATTGATTTTCAAATTGTTAAAGACGAATAATATGTAATGGAATATGATTATTTAAATCTTGTTGTTCAGATAATAATTCTTCATATAATTTTCCTTGATCATCATTTAATCTATTTTCAAAAAAAATAAACAATCAAAAAAAATGAACAGAATTGTTAATCTACTTTGGAATCGAAGAAATTTTCAATTTTCGTAATGTATCGAGGATATTGTTGATCTTTCTTTGATGATGGACTATTAATTGTTCCTTCTTCATTTGTTGTAACTGATGAATTTGTTTGTTTTTTATTAGTAGTATTAACACTACTTGATGAAGATTTTTTCGATGAACTTGATGGAGATGATGAACTAAGATCAGTAAAATATTGATAAATTGTATTGATTTTCTACAAAATATTTCATTAATATTTCTTCAGAGAAAGCAAAAAAAAAATTCAAACCAATTTTTTCATTTTTTCATTTTTGGGAAATGTCATTGTGCTTCAAAGAAATGTTTTTGTCGTTGAATAAAAACAACTCAACAAATTTGTCTCCTGGTACAGTTGTCATATAAATAGATACTTGACGTTCCGTTTGTAATTTAATAGATGATGTTTGAATTTTTTTCTTTTGTGTATGTAAAGCATCTAAGAAATAATAAAAATCTGATGCTGATAATCCAATAACTTTATGTTCAATATGTACAACAATCATAATATGAATAATGCGACCTAGATCATCACCTATTCTCCTCATTTATTCAAATATAAATATGATTCACTAAAATCTATAAGTTAGTATTCATAATAGAAATCTGCTTTAGAACGATCCTCGGGTTGACCATCTTTATGATTATACAGAAAGGCATATATAAGACTATCCTGACTAGGATCCTTGGAAAACCAAAACTTGGACATTCAGCCAGTATTTTCTCTAGCAACTCGCTTCATGACCCGAGCCGCTGATGAAATATACCTTATTCAATGCAGCTCGATGAGCTCTATCGAATGATATACTTAGGGCAATCCAAAAGTAGTGGCGCCAGCATCTTAATTTCGTATAGAATGCTTAAGAAAAGTTTCTTTCCTTATGAGTAGATAGAGCGTCTTTTGCTCTATTTTTCTGTTGCTTATTATTTATTCTTTGAAACTGAAAATAAAAAGCCACATCAGATCTTGCATAAAAAGTCTCTCTTGATCATCATTCGTCTCCTTATTTGTTTGATTCATCACTTGTTTGTAGTATGTTAATATTGTTCCATTGAAATTGTTTACACATTCACTAATAGTTCCATCATGCGTTAATTGATTCTTAACGATGAAAAGAAAGAAACAAGTTTGTTGTTGAATAGAATCGATTTTTATAGATACTGGGTGTTTTTGTGATGAGTCTTATATGAAATAAAATGATCTAATAGTTTATTAATGAAATTTAACAACTGAACTATCTATAAGTGTTTAAGATGAATTTGAAGTTACTCAATATGTACAGTTAAAAAGAAGATCAAGATAATTGAAGCTGAATTATTCGATCAAATCAAATTAAAAAAAAATATTCTAATGTATTTCATAGCAACTTAACTATAAGAAAATGGACACTATTTTCATTAACTATTAGTGTTTTGCATTGCATAATATTAATCAATCAGAAAGTCAATCTCTGTATCACCGTTACTGATATTTTATTTTTCATAGCGGTTCATTTTTTTAAACAAAGAAAAAAAAAAGTGGTTCAAAAATGTTTTTTTTTAATGAATACGCTCAATAAATCTTGGTGGTATATGAAGTTGAGCCAAAAGTTCAGGTTGATTAATTAGACAAGTTCGATCCGATAGAGAATTTAAAAAATAATTCCAAGTTAATTCACTTAAATTAAGCACTCGAGTATGCATTGTATACAATGTTGTTATACGTTTTTCACTATGATTTGTGTTACCATTTATTGATCCTGATTCATTTACAACACCACCATGAGTCCAAATTTCACCACGCTAAATAAAATTAGAGAAAAGACAATAGGAAAAAAACAATCAAATCAACATTTTTACTTCATTCATAGCAGCAGCATGAAAATACGTTGGTCGTGGCATAGTTAATGAAGGTAATATAGACCATTCTAATTTTTCAAAATCAAATGTCCATATACGGCTATTAACAGAAATATGACGATTAATTACATGATAAAAATGAGCACCACCAAACATAATTATTTGATTATTATGAAATGGAAATATTGAATGAAATTTTCGGCTCTTAGGAAAATCTATTTGAAATTAACAATAAAAAAGAAAAAATAAACATATATATAAAACTTACTATGAATTGGATCTGGATTTGTATGAACAAATGACCAACTTCGAGTAGTAAGATCGAATACAGGTAACTGAAAATGTAATACAATAAAACATTTATATACCTTTATGAAAATAGGCAAGAAGTTTATAGAAAGTAGAAGTAATCATTTTTGGTAAAGAGCAACATAGCTTTTATGCAAAAGAATATTAGGAAAACAAATAGTATCAACAAAACATTAAAGACATTAAAAAGAACTGCTAAAAAAAAGATCTTTTTTGGCTTTTTGATGTCTCTAACATTTTGAGGAAAAGTCGTAGAAAATGTGACGACTTCTCATTTTGTTCAGGCCTTTGTACTTTTTGCAAAATCATTCTTCAAAACTAGTTTCAGCAAAATCTTCCAAAACTTGAAAACTACTGTTTTCAGTTTTTTTAGAGACCTTGCCATAATAATTCATCAATAAAATCTTAGTATAGAATACATTATACAGAAAATTTCATTGACTATTAAAATTTCTATCTAAATTTGAGCTAGTTACTTAACATAGTAAGAAAGAACTCAAAAATACGTTGTTATTAAACTTTTCCATCACTCTATGCTTTTTCTACTTTGAAGGGCATATATTTAATAAAGATAATTAAACTTTATCTTATACTTACATATTCAAATGAATATGATATACCCGAAACACCGCCACCACCAAATAAAAATATTTTATTTTGATACAAATATGCTTCTTGTCGATATCTGAGAAATAAGCAAAAAAATTGCATTAAAAAAAGTGTAATTTTATTCCATTTAATCAAAAATATTTACCGTCCTGTTTCACTTGGATCTTCAATTTCATCAAATGTATGACCTATATGTTTACATGTTAATGTAGGTAAATGAATATCATATACATCTGAATTATAAGACCAACTATTTGTACCACATAAGATATATAAATGATCATCGTTTACAATCATACTCTGAAAAAAAGTTTTTTTTTTTTTGTTTGTAAATAATACAATATAACTTAGAAAATGTATACATACTGCTCCATAGACTGGTTCTGGTTGTTGATCAAGTATTCGACATCGTTTCCAATGACGTCGTTTTAAATCAAGTACAAATAAATCATTTGAAACATGTTGACCAAAAGGAAATCCTGTACCACCAAAAACAAGAAGTAAATTTCGAAAGAGACACACTAAAATATCAAAAATATAAAACCAAGAAAATCAAAATGAATATTTTCTAATTATACTTGAATGAGACGCAAGAGTAAGAGTAGGTCCATCACCTGTTGTTTTTTCAAGTGTCCATCGATGAAGAGCAAAATTATAACGCCAAAGCTATAAATATAAATAAACATTAAGATAAATATTTAACTTTTTTAAAAATTTTGCTTAGAATTACTTCTTGAAACATGCGTTCTGGTTGATTATCATTTGCTGGATAATAACCACCCCATATCCATAAATCTGAATCTGTAACAATAGCTCGATGACCTGAACGTGGATGTGGTTTATCTGATGAATCCGATGGTATATCTTCAATAAATTGCATAAGATTTTTTGGTAGTAAAAAATTCGATGATAAACATAAACTTGTTTTCGATTGTTGGATATTAACTATACCATCCATTGTTAATGTTGTGGTTGTTGTTGTTTGTTGTTGAGTAGATTTTTGATTTGTTGTTGGATCGTTTGTCATAACAAATGAATATAACCAACGAACAATAACATTATTATTAATATCAATATCAAACAAAACAAAATTTTGGAAATAACTATGAAACTAGAATATTAATTTGTTTATTAATTGATTTATTAGAAAAAAATAATAATAATAAACAAAACTTAAGTTTTTCAATCTTACATAACGAACACGTAGTGTTAGCCAAGTAAAAATCATTAATGTTGTTAATTCAAGCATTTTTAATGTTTAAAGCTCCACATAACTTTAAGATAAATGTTTGTTCATATGAAGATTTAAATGATTAAATAAAATCGAACGGAATCGATTAAAAGGAAAACGTTAAGCTGTTTTATTTTCGTAAGACTATAAGAAAAAAAAAGAAAAAATTCAATTCAATTCAATAGATGTGCGTCATTTAAGACTTCTTTTTATTCATATGAAATTCCTAGAAAAACAATTGTTTAGTTTAAACGATGATCGAGTTAATATATAATAACTTTTGAAATTATTCGTCGGAGTTTTTTTCCGCTGCTAACAATGCTAAGAATTTTAAAAGATAAAAATGATTGTTAATTTCTAAAGAAAAAGAATCTCTGAAAAGCTAAGTTCTACAGCTACTAGAATTTGCAATGAGATTTCTATTTGAATTAATTATAATGATAGAGCAAAAATTCTTCCCAAAGTAAAACGTCTTTCAGTTTTCTACGATGTTTTTTTAAAAGACATATCAACTTTACGAAAAGCAAAAAAGACGTTTCGTTTTGTACAGTTTCGGGTTTTTAAGAGACCCCTTTCCTCAGGAAACTAGCAATTATCATTATCTTTAAAAGTTCTCGTTAAACATAAAATGCTTTATTCAGATCACTACTATGATTCTTTCTAGCGTTTACGACAACGAAGAAGAAATTGAAAATAGCCATTCGACTTTTGGTCAAATGACAAAGATATGGAAGAAAAAAGGATAAATTGCATCATTCTATGCATATTATAAGTTTTATTTTTTCATGAAATTTAGATTTTTTTTACAAACTGTTTTTTCTATACTCAAAGTTTCGATTGCAATTAAATGAATCATAACTCTTTCACAATTTCCTTCCATTATTTGTAAGTGTATGAAACATCAAAAAAATGTTTGTATTTTAAATTGCCATCCTTTTTGTAATTGGTTCTGCTATTATTTATTTTCTAAATCTGACAGTAGAAAACTATTAGTTCTTGCCATATCAAATTTCCTATTGAATTTCGAAAATTTTAAAATTTGATTGATCAACAATTTAAAAAAGTGTTCTTATGTGAGATAAACTTCGAAATATGACTGATGTAATAATAATAATAGATGTTATGGAAACTAGTCAAAAATACGAAGAAATATCTAAAAACTATTCAGTTCTATAATATAAATATTTTCGGTACGTCAGCACAGATTGTAATGGAACGAGAAGAGGTGTAACTCAATCATTTCTTATGTTCTTGTGTTATTTCTCTTGTAGTTTTTGACTTGATGAGATATCAAAGGAACATATATTATTAACTGATATTTATCTATTATGATATCCTGAATGCGTCAATCATTAGGATAGTATGCATTATTATTTATTTTGACATTATAAAGAATATACTTTGTCTCATACAACCGACGTTGTTTATGTTGCAAAAAATTCATTACGAAAAACATTTGAGTTTGCAATAGGAAAACTTCGTTTGAATTCATATTATTTCATAATATTATATTTCATTTTCGACAGGTGTTCTTATATATCAAGTGCAAGTAGAGTCATA